ACTTGTTGTGTTAATATGGTATCGATGCTTCACCTTTAGGCGGGGTGGGTGAAAGGGGTCAGTAGGGACAATCTGACTCGCTGGATGCTCTTCAACACAAATCACGCCGTGTGCGGTGGTTTTCTTGTTTTGTTTTTTTTCTTCCTCTGCTGTTGGTTTTCTGGGCCAAGAATATTGTTCAGTATCACAACATGGGCGATTTTTTTTTGTTTTGTTTTATAGAAATGATACCTGTAAAACTATATCTCAGATTGTATTTTATAAACTTGTCTACCTAATTGTTTCCCTTTGTGGGATAGTGGGGCATGGGAATATTTAAGATTTATATCTAGGACTATGTAGTCTTCTTTAAGACGGTTAGTTGCGAGGGATGGGGGGTAGTATATCTTTCATATTATATTTATGTAGTTAAACTATTTTGTAAGCAGTAAAAGTTTAAAATTAGTGACTTGATGTTTTTTTTAAAGGACGTGAATTTTAATTTTACAATATGTTTGAAGTCCAAATGATGGCTGTGTAGTACAGTCTAGTGCTTGAGATGAAAAGAGAAAAGGCTTCAAACCAATTAGTTGTGTAGTCTCAGATCAGCGTTGGCTGCAGAGAACTACAGGTGGTCGGCTGGTTTACAGCTTCAGTGTTTTCTTTAGTCATCACACAGATCTTAGCTAAATAAGTGTTTGATCTTAGGCAGCACTCTAAGGCCTGAACTCAGTGGGTACGAGAAATTAAAGCTGTGTCCACCCACACAGTATCTACCCACATAACACCCACCAACGATGCACAACCACACAGGACACGTACACAGTACAACTACACGGTACAGACCCACACAGTACACTTACGCATTTCATATCAACACAGTACACCTACATAGTAACCACCCACCCAGTACACACACAATGTACACGCCCACACAGTACACTTACACAGAACACAGTAGATTCACACAGTACACATCAACACATCAACACAGTACACCTACACGATACACACTCACTAGGTACACACTCACTGTACACTCACCCAGTACACATCAACACGGTACACCTACCCAGGACACATCTACACGGGTTACCTACCAAGTACACACCTACCCAGTACACACCTACCCAGTACACACCTACCCAGTACACACATAGTACCCACACAGGACACATCCACACGGGTCACCTACCAAGTACACACCTACCCAGTACGCACCTACACAGTTCACACATAGTACCCATACATGACACACATAGTGCCCACACAGTACACACCCACTTTGTACACACCTACATAGTACCCCAGCACAATTCACACTCACACCTACACACTTTCTACCCACATACTACCCTCACACAAACTACAATCACACACATAAACTAATAATAATAGGCAGTTAAACAAACAGCTTTAATTTTAAAAATTGACTTCGATCACGTGGCCTGACTAATGAGTGAGGACTGGTTTAATGTGTGTGGGCTGGGTTAATCAAATGTGTGAGGACTGGCTTAGTGTGTGTGGGCTGGCGTAGTGTGTGGGCTGGCTTAATCTCTGAGAGCCGGCTTAGTGTGTGAGGACTGGTTTAATGAGTGAGGGCTGACTTAATGTGTGTGGGCTTACTTAATATGTGTGGGCTGGGTTAATGTGTGTGGGTTGGCTAAGTGTGGCAGTCCTGATTCTGTGTAGGAATATAATTCCGTTTGCTTTCAGGATTCGCAAAATATTTATTTTCTACGAACAGGAACCTGATTTTAGAACTAAATCCAGCACATCATACATAAGGCACGGTCTATGTGTGTACTTAGCGCTATTAAGAATTAGGGGAGTCTAGTAACTTTTTGTAGTCATGAATTAAGTTTTATTAATGCCTCGTCGTATCACTCAAATTACGGAGGTTACACCTACATGAAATCGTACCAACCTTCTTGTCCCCGTTGACACCTAGCTTCCACCCGCTACAGATTCCGCGCCATCTGAAGACTATTTAATCACTAAATTGTTTGACAGACAAGCTATTCAACAAACCGGAACCAAACCCTTTGTTAAATTATTACTTTATTGCTTCTCCGTGGCTCTTGTTCCGGGCTTGTCTTTGTCTACTTGTTTTGTAACGAGATCACTTGCTGCCTGTGTTTAAGTTTGTGGGGTTTAAAATAAGCTGGAAGAGAGTTTAAATAATCAGAAAGGAATGGAACTACCGTGGAAAGAAAATTAAATTGGGTCTACTCGCTTTTTTATGGAGTATCCACTTTCCTGGTAATTAAGACAATTGTTTATGTATGAACATAGTTATGGTGCGCGTTTTTTGTTTTGCAGTGAGATGTTAAGAGTTTAAAAAAAACTTAAGCACCATTTTATTTTAGATAAATCATAATTGAATGCCTTCAGTGGTTCTTTGTTTCTTGTGCCAGTCACCCAGGAAACTCGTTTCAACACACTGGTGGTCGGACGTTTTGTTTTTAATTTTTATTTGGTGAACTTCAGAACTGATTTCCTTTCAAGCGACTTAAAGTTGCCACTGAAAAGGAGAAAATTTCAAATGCTTTAGAGAAAAAGCAATTTGTATTATTGTTTAATGGTGGGGGTGGCAGACGGATGTGTTTGAGCTTGCTGGGTTGAAGTTCAGTGGATGGGTGGATGTTAGTTGTGTGGGTGGGTGGATGTTACTTGTGTGAGTGGATGGATGTTAGTTGTGTGGGTGGGTGGATGTTAGTTGTGCGGGTGGGTGGATGTTAGTTGTGTGGGTGGGTGGATGTTAGTTGTGTGGGTGGGTGGATGTTAGTTGTGTGGGTGGGTGGATGTTAGTTGTGTGGGCGGGTGGATGTTAGTTGTGTGTGTGGGTGGATGTTAGTTGTGTGTGTGGGTGGATGTTAGTTGTGTGTGTGGGTGGATGTTAGTTGTGTGTGTGGGTGGATGTTAGTTGTGTGGGTGGGTGGATGTTAGTTGTGTGTGTGGGTGGATGTTAGTTGTGTGGGTGGGTGGATGTTAGTTGTGTGTGTGGGTGGATGTTAGTTGTGTGTGTGGGTGGGTGTTAGTTGTGTGGGTGGGTGGATGTTACTTGTGTGGGTGGGTGGATGTTAGTTGTGTGGGTGGGTGGGTGTTAGTTGTGTGGGTGGGTGGATGTTACTTGTGTGGGTGGGTGGATGTTAGTTGTGTGGGTGGGTGGATATTGTGTGGGTGGGTGTTAGTCCTGTTGGTGGGTGGCAGTTCGGTGCTTTCGTGGGTGGGTGCGTGAGTGGAAGTTGGGTGGGTAGTTGTTCGATGGGTGGGCAGGTGGGTGGCTGGGTGCGATATAGAGAAAAGTACCCTCTCACCTAGGCTGAACCTTTGCCTGCTGCACCAGACAGAAATAACAACAAAAGATGCTCGGACCTTCTGCCGTCTATTGCACATGTCTGGTGTGTGGGGTGAAGTGGAAACATCTGCAGCTGGAGGTGGATACACTACAGCTCTAGTGTATACATTACAGCTCTAGTGGATACACTACAGCTAGTGTATACACTACAGCTCTAGTGGATACATTACAGCTAGTAGATACACTACAGCTCTAGTGGATACACTACAGCTAGTGGATACAATGTAACTCCTAGTGAATACACTACATATCCTAGTGGATACACTGCAGCTCCTATGAAAAGCGAAGAGGGTTAAGGGAGGGTGCCACTGGGACTGCAATTTGTTTTCATGTATTATATTATAGCGGTTATTCTATATGTTATGATTTAATTAGGTGCAGGAGTATTTGTTTAGGGTGGTGTTTGTGAACATTAGTATAGTATAAGGTTAAAATAGCGTCACATTTGTTAATGTGTATAATTTAGCACACAGGTATGTGATATAGAAGCTAGTTGTTACATGTAATGAAGTTTGGAGTTAGAGATTGAGGGGGGGGGGGGGTGTATAAAGAAAATTTAGAGGAGTCAGTTATCGTAGGATTCTTGTTATTGTAGTTATCGTAAAGTATTATGGAGATATTGTTATCATCGGATATCGCCATGATTGTTAATCAAGCGCAATTAAAGACAAAATAACCTACCAACAAACTTTGGCTACGAGTTATATGTTACATGCGTGCAAATCATTAACTAATAATGCTCACGACGATCTGGTGTCTGTAACATCAAAACATTGGGTTCCATTACTTTCTAAACAGTTCTAAATATTCAGCTTAAGTTAAAGCTTTACTATATTTGGACAAGCCTGAGTCATGCAGAACTAGCGAGGTTAAAACACGCGTTACTGGTGAGTGAGTTCAGGTGTCGGCGCATTATTTGAAGGTCCCGCCTGTGTTCTTCCGAGTGTAGAACCTCACCAGGTGGCGTCTCAAAGTTGGTCATTCTCTGGCAGCTACTAATTGTGGTGTTCAAAATATACTAGCAGTCACGCCCGGCTTTACACGGGGATAGGCTACCAGGTGTTAAGTCATTACATTTAATTTTTCTTTGGTCGTGTTGGTAAAAAGTTTAAAATTTTAAATAGGCTGTTTATTATAAGTATCCTAACAATATGGGGACAGCAGTTTACTGCCTGGTTAGTTAAATTAATCAACGATGATGGTTTCTTTATCAGGTCTTTTACTCGCTGAGTTTCTTTCATACATTTTTCCCACGGGGTGGGGACTAGAGATTCCGGGAGAGGAGGGGACAATAATTGAAATATATATTCTCCATTTAGAATTAATGTTTTTTTTTTCTATTGTCTTAGAGGGCGGTAGATATGCCTAAAATGAATACTGGTACTTAAGTCATACCTCTGTCAAAGAGCAATCCAATTCGTTTTGAAATTGTGATTTTTCCAGGCCGGATTTACCGCTGCAATACATAGCAAAACACACCAAAAAAAACACAATCGGAGAAAACAATTTTTTTTTTAAATTATCGTGTGTCTGGTCTGAATGTTAACACAGTAAACGCCAACTGTAACATGCTCATGTCAATTCCCTTCACATGTGTCTTGTATGGATTTGAATGCGGGAGCTGCTCATTCTAATCCGTGCATGTTAATCTCGTCGGCAGGTGTCCACTGGGCTACACAGGTGTTCGATGTGCCATCATTGACCAGGAGTACATACTCAGTTTACTGACCAACTTGATCTTCACCTCAGCCTAGTCCAGTTACAAGCTAAAAGGTAGGGTTTATTTGTAGGCTAAATCCCGTCCAACTTTTGAATAGTATGTTGTATGTGTAAGCTAAAGCCCTGCTACCGTCAGAATAATATGTGTATGAAACGTGGGATGGGCTTGTCGACTTGTAAACGGGTCTGTATGAGCGGGTAGGTAGAACTCATGATCGCTAAAACAAAAAGTGTCGAGTTCGAACCCCTGTGCAGATGAGGCTCAAAAGCTGGCGAGAGTACCTCATCTGGGTAAGAAAACTCTAAAATCAAACAACCACAGCCTTGTAGTTTGTTATTGGATGGACAAAGTCTATGGAAACAAATCCAAAAAGAAAGCAGGCTGAAATCGGAGTCAGCGGACCAAATATCATGTTGACACGTAATACTTCTTTGTGTATTACAATTTAAGAACGAAGTAGAAGGTCGAGTCTGGAAAAGTTAAGGCGCTTGGCTATAATGCTAACCACCCATAATCGTTTCATAGTAATGTTAACAAGGCTCCGGCTTTTTAAAAAGTTAAACTCTCATTTTGTTCTCTGGTGGTCGATGAAATAAATGTTATATTTATTCATCATATACATGACTGATCACCTTGCATTGTTCAACATCGGTTCATTGGCATACATTCACAAAGACCCCAGTCACTAATGTCACTCGATTAAAAAACCGTTATAACATTAACTTTGATCTGTTTATAAATTAGAACAAGAACAATAAAACGCGCATAATGCTTTTTTTCTATTTTTTATACGTTTTTATTTTTATTTCCGAATACTTTTCTTTATTTTTTAATTCGCTAACAGTTTTTAATCATATTTTTGCATTCGAAAACAGCTTGTGATAATAGCCAATATTTCGTTTCGTAATGTCTTTTTTTTTTTAAATTTTAATGGGGAGGCAGGGATAACTTCTTAACCTAATCATGTCCATATGTACACCCCCATCCATCATCATTGCCAGCGGATATCCGGGCTAAACACGAATCAATTTTCGCTATTTAAACAAATTTCAAATACATCTGTTTAATCAGATTTTAAATTTATTTTTTATGCTTCATTTTGTTTAATTAAATGTATACATTTTTTTTACTTTCCTATTCATAGACGCGATATTTATTCACTGTATACATTTGTCTTTCCGCTGTTTTTTGTGGGTTGAGCCATGAAAGTGGGTTTACGATTGTCAGCGTGTATGGAATAAAATGTTATTCTAAGTTAACCTTCCAGTTGTCGTTTATTGGGGCATGATTAAAAGATCCCGCTGTGATTGAAAGGTTACGATGAGATGAGCTCCATCTAATAACTGCGCGGGCGTATTCAGAGTTTTTTAAACTATTGAATTTGTTGACATTTGGGACATTGAGTAACCGGCATGCTTGGACAGTGGCTATTTCAGTGCAATCGTTTTCTTTGTTCTTAATTGTAAAATTGAAGGATGTATCCTCCAACTCGGTTAAGTATTACGTGTCAACATGTTATGCGCCTTACGGCTCATTGACTCCAACTTCAGTCTGTTTTTCTTTCTAAATCTGATTCCAAATCTTTTGTCAACACAAAAACTATCTGCAAGACAGAAGTTTGATTTTGGAGTTTTGTAACCTTTATGGATTGCTGTCCCCAGCTAACGAGCCTTTTCTACAAGAGTATTCTTCTTTTCTTCTTCTTCGTTCTTAATTATTAGTGTTGAAGGGGATCGAGATTTATCTGCCAGTGGGTTTGAACTCGAGACTTTGTTCGAATTTATCAACCATGAGCTTTTTGCCGACTCGACCACGCCTCCAACACAATTAAGCGTTACGTGTCAACTGGTTATGCGCCATTGAGGCCATTGACTCCGATTTCAGCCTGCTTTTCTTTTTGGATTAGCTTCCATAGCCTTTGTCCAACCAAGAACAAACTACAAGGCAGCAGTTTTTTTAATTTTGGAGTTGTCTCTCCTAGAGGAGTGGCTGTCCCCAGCTAACGGGCCTCATCTGCCCGAGGGTTCGAACTCAAGACTTTTCGGTACTTTTGACATCGTCGTTGTCGTCGTCGTCGTCGTCGTCGCCCCCCCCCCCCTCCCAATCTCCATATTTTCTTTATGTTTGAATGTGTGCTAGTTACGTTCAGGGTTAGTTTAGATTTAATTTAAAAATTAGCTTGGGATAGTTGACGGTTAAATGTGTGTTGTTTTGATCGATCAAAACGACTGAGCTCTATATGTTCAGAGACAGCTCTAAAGCTGCAAAACATCAGTATTTTTACAGAGTGATTAAAGGACCTTTAGAAATTTTTTAAAATCATATAGTCAATTTAAAAGAAACAAATTCTGACTTAAGTGAGTGTGGGTGTTTTCTGCAAGGCGAAACAAAAAAATATATATTTATCGAAAATTAATGATTTTTTTTTGTATTTTCTTTGTTCCAACCGGGTATGAAGCTCTAGAATAGATTAGAATACAACTTAAATCATCATCAACCGGAAGTAAACAATATCCGATAACAGACCAGCTTGGAGGGATACAAAAAAGGTTAAGAAAAATGAAATCCGAATAAATTTAGTCATCAACATACAAATGAGACTAGGTATATAAAAATTAACATTTTTTACTTTCTCATATATACGAAGTATAGAGAAAGTATTGTAATCGTGCACAAAAATTACTTGAAATTTTAACAATTTTCACCGTATTACACCTCAGTCCTTCATCACATCCGAAGTATAGAGGACTTATTTTAATCGGGCAAAAATTATCAATCCAGATTTATCAAAATTAAGAGGTTTTATGCGTAATCCAGTCTGAAAAACTGGGCTTTGCAATCCTGTCCGTATGTCTGTGTGTCTGTGTGTCTGTCTGTCTGTCTGTCTGTCTGTCCGTGTGTAAACACGATAACTTGAGTACCGTTACAGCTAGGTTGATGAAATTTGATATATAAGTATTTTATCAAAATAGTAGATCCGTATCAACTTTTGAGCGATTTCCGATAACCGGAAGTGGTACATTTTCTACTTTGAATTTTTCAAAAGCTTATAACTTGAGTACTGTTTCAGATAAATAAATAAAATTTCACATGTGAGTAAAAGATCTAATTCTCTACCTGGTGTTAAATTTTGAGTAATTTCCATTGAACGGAAGTAGTAATTTACGCTATTTCCGATTTCTCAAAAAACTAATGAAAATTTTTAAAGTACTAATAATATTGCGCACTATTATGCACTTTTTTATTTGGCGTTCAATTGGTGTGCAATTCTTTTGTCTATGAGATTTTATTCTAGTTTTAAAACTTTACGTATTTAAAATGGATTAAAAATCATGTCTATAGCCTCTGTTGTTTTATATAAGAATATTCGAGAATGTTTAGGGGGGATCACTCCCGGTTTATTTCCATAGGTGTACAAGAAAGCTAAGGCGCAGTAATAAAAAAAAATAAAACTTAAATAACTCAAGCTAGAAATATTTAAAGCACTTGAAGTAGGGAAAAAAATCGTATGCCGAGTGTGTATAAAAGAGATAAGGACATGCATAAAATAATAAAATAACAGCAGAGTGGGGGGGGGGGGGGGGGCATTTTCCAACTTTTTAAAAAAGGTAAATGAATTTAATGCAGAATTTAAGAATGTTCTTGTCCGTGGTGTCTCCCGTTCATACTCAGCACACTTGGGGCAGGTGAAGCAGAGTGCATCTCTTTCAATTACCTCGGCGTACAGTGTGGTCAGCACAAGTCCAGCCGCCTTTACTTTCCCTAACGTGAGTCAGGTGCCCACGAGAGCTGGGTGAACTCATGAACTTCATACAGAACAACCCGGGACCCGAACTCGGGACTTTTAGATTAGCATTCGCGAGCTTTACCATCCGACCATTCTGTTGTATCCTTACATAATAATATATTGAAAATGTGTGTGGATTTGTTCGGTTATTGATTTCTTGATCGAGTAAAATAAAATGAAAAACAACAATCGTTTTCACCAGGTCAATAGAAACATTGTATAGATCAGGGGTCGGCAACCTGCGGCTCGCGAGCCGCATGCGGCTCTTTTGATATCAAGATGCGGCTCTCCAGCTCCTTGCACAAATACTAATAATCTTAATAAAAAAATAAAATATTTTAAATAAAAAAATGTTAGTGGCTCTTTAAAACCAGGGAAATTTTGAAAATTGTAACTTTTGGCTCTTCCGCTTCAAAAGGTTGCCGACCCCTGGTATAGATCATCATTTTATGCTGTGTCATCAGCTATTGCCCTATACGTATTTATACAAATATCAATCATTGCTTTCCCTTTTTAAATGAAACTTTAACTTATGTAGATGGCATTGATTTTACTGTCTGGGCTCAACGTATTTTTTTTTAAAAATAAAATAAAAAGTTGAAGCAAAGCTATAAAAGATAATTAAATATAATTAAAGCAACAGATTGCAAGATATTTACATTTTAAATTAGTAAATATTTGTTAAATCAAGGGATACATTTACAATGTCTATTCTTTTTTAGAAATGGTTTACAAAATTTATTAAAATCTATTTATTTGAGAAATCTAAACTTAAAAAAAAAATAACAGAGAAGTTTAGATTGCATAATTCAAATGGCATACACAATGTCAAGGTCATGTTTGGGAAGGTGCTCCTGATTTTAATTTGCGTGTGGTCGGAACCTCCATCGAGTCTACAGACTCCGACCCCCGCAACCCCTCCCGCCACCGTGCGGCAAGCATCGTGCCGATAAACATTTCAAACGTGTCACAGCACCGTGTACGTCATCATAAATGTCATACCCGGGCCGGGCCAGTCGGATAAATACCCGGCTAAACTTCGTCAAATTTTTAATGGCCCACACCATTTAATGCTCGCTGTTCTGACCGGGAACTCGCCGTTACCACTGGTGACGTTTTATTACACCTGGGGTAGGACCTGTAGGAAAAATATAGACCCCCTCACCCCCCTTCCACACACACCCACACACTAGCTTACACGGTTGACTTTTATTCTTGTCGTACTAAATATTAGGAGCTATTTTTGCATAGATAGACGAAACATTTGTTAACCCACAATCACATATTTCTTAATAGGGTTAATGGCTGAAACGTCTGGCGTAAGAAGATACGGATTTTAAACATATGTTATTTAAGTCAAAATAAATAATGGTTGAAAGAACGTGGTTTTCGTGTAGTAGACGTTGGAATTAACAGATATGTTGTTGTTGATGTAGAGTGTGGATCGTGTGTTTTCAAAATACTTGTAGTTTAAAGGTGTTGTTCGTGTGTGAGAAAATAAAGTCACTGATTAACATGCTTTTGTTTCTTAGTAATATTAACGTTTCTTTGATTATTTATTTTTATTTATTTTTTATTAGAGTAAATATAATGTTTGTAAAAGTAGGGTACTTGGTAGTAGAAGACTTAGGTAATGTAATGTAAGTACCAACATGAAGTGGGAGGATGGGTGTGTGAAGTGTTTAGCGAACTCGTCTTTACTAGACGTTTTATTTTATTTTTACCAGCACGTTGCGGGTGAGCAGGAAAAAATAAAGACACTAAACGTAGCAGAAATGAGCACCAGAGATAAAAAGTGGCTAAATCGAAGATGTCCACTTCATTATGCATCGCATTTGATTTCTTTCGCAATGCAATTTTTTTTTCCGTTAATGAATAGGAAAATATTTCACGACATGGTTATGAATTACTTTTTTTTTTTAAATGTTTAAAGATTTTGTATTTTATCGCTACATAATGCCCAGTTTTCTAAATAGCCAGGTGTTTTATTCCACGAGCTGGAAGGCGGTGGTGATGTGTGTGGGGTGGGAGGTGGGAGGTGGGCGATAATCTTCAAGGTGTTTTGAGAGTGAAAAATTGCCAAATTTGGTCTTTATCCTTACGACTCTGAAAACAATACCCCCAAACACACGTATATATATATATATATATATATATATATATACCAT